AAAAAAACAGTCAACAAGCAAGTGTGAAAGAATTTTTCAAATCGGTTCAGTAGTTTCGGAGCCTATTCAATACAAACAAACAACCAAATCTTTCCTCTTTATAATATTAGTATAGATCAATATTGATGTAGGTATATATAGAATTTTAGCCAGATCCATTTTTCATAACAATATAAAATTGTAACCATTTGTGGACTTTTATATACACTAAATTTACCTGATCCTTTTCCAAATTTCGTTCCAATTTCCAATCCAAAAAAATAAATCCATTAACACACTTCCTAACCTTTTTGCGTGGCTGACGCACAAACCGTGCCGGCCAAGAAATGGGGAAAAAAAAGTAGCAACATCAAAAGGCGGTTGTTTTGAAAATCAACTTTATTTCTTAGCGCTTTTCTCATTTTTCTCCCTCTTCCTCTTGTTAATCGGATTCCTGGGGTCGTATATGTCGAACCAGTCGTCCCCTTTAGTCGACGCGTCTTTAGCCAGAACAGCGCCTTTATCCTCAAACCTCAATTTGTGTGCTAGCCTAATGAAATATTAATTCATGTAGAGTTTTGCACAAAGACACATGCATGATTAATTTTCTTGTTTGTTTTGCTTGGTATTGGACTTGAAGTTTTTGGCGAGTGGAGTTAGAGACAATACGATATTTTGATATGATTTGTTGTACTAGTAGTTTTCTTGGCCTAGTACATCTGACGGCTATATCAAGGTTCAAATCCATGAGGCAGGTAACGTATTTTTTCTTCGCAAAATACGACTTTGTGTCTTAATATGGGTGGCGACATTCACATCACATATGTCTATGGGCTTCAGTGACCAATTAAGATCAGGCGGCCCGTAAGCTCGTGCAGCGACGTTGACATAGCTACCGTTTTTTCAAAGGCAATACATTCAGTCAAGAAAGTATCGGGAATGGATGATTTTCTAGATTGGCCCGAACTGGAAATAGTGATTGAAAATCCTCATTCACCTCTGAGAGAGATAGCCGTAGAACTTTCTCTGTTTCACGAATTAATCGTGGATTGGTAGAGGCCTATGTTCCGCAGTGGAAGACTGTGGGTTGATGATACTGATTATGGGTATAAAAAACCCGCCACTTGGCTAGTACCTAAAGACCTGAATTTTTTCTAGCACAACACGAGGATGTTGAGGCGAGGTGGAATGATCTTTCAAAAAACGGAAATGTTATCCTTACCAATCATCACTGTTTAGATTCTCGTCGTCCTTCGACTCCGCCTCGTCAATGGTCTGCGGTTTCTCCTTAATGGCGTGAAGTTTCGTTTTGAATTTAGCCAGGAGCTGCAGCGTGAAGTTCTCCCTGGAAATGGAGACTATGAGTTCAATAGCCCTCCTCAGGAATAGGCAAAATTATAGTTCGGCTATTGAACGAAGCAACAGGAAAGATTATAGTCCATCCGCTGAATGAAGCAATGGGAAAGATTATAGTTCAGCCGCTGAATGAAGCAATGGGAAAGATTATACTCCGGCCACTGAGTGAATCAATGGGAAAGATTATAATCCCACCACTGAATGAGATAATGGGAAAGATTATAGTCCCACCACTGAAGGAACAATTGCTCTATAGGAAACATTATAGTCCGGCCGTTGAATGAAGCAATGGGATAAATTATATTCCGAGCGCTGAATAAAGCAATGGGAAAGATTATAGTCCAGCCACTGAAAGAAGCAATGGGAAAGATTAGAGTCCGGCCGCTGAATGAAGCAATGGGAAAGATTATATTCCGGCCGCTGAATGAAGCAATGGGAAAGAAGAGTCCGACCACTGAATGAACAATTGCTTTATAGGAAACATTATAGTCCGGCCATTGAATGAAGTTATAAGAAAGATATGACATCATGCCGCCGCTGAATGAATGCGTTCACCACCGAGTGAACGCTTTAGCTTTGAAATGGCGTTAAGTTTACAACAAAATATATTATTATGTACATGCACAACGAATACATTAAGATGTTAATGTCGTTTAAATTCAAAATAAACGTTTTGGATCGCATTATTTCGACAGTCGGACTGTAATAGAATGTCATTTTTTTAAGCTCCTCAAATGACTCAAGGAGATAAGTACTGATTTATTTGGATAAATACGCAGACGATGACTCCTGATACCACGTGGCGGCTACTAAAAGCACAAAATTATTGAACTTCATTCCAAAAAAATATACTTTTTTTATTGCTTAGAGTGGTGGATGAGTTCACGGCCTACCTGATGTTAAGTAGTTACCAGAGCCTATAAAAATCTACGACGTAAAATGCCGCCACCTACTTCGAGACATGAGAAGATCTCAGTTTTTAGAGTAGAGCGGCTGCCCCAGCCTTCAAACCGAAACGCATTACCTACTGCTTCACGGTAGAAATAGGCAGCGTGGTGTTACCTACCCGTGCGGACTCACAAGACGTTCTAGCACTTGTAATGACGCAAATTATAATTTTGCAGATTTGATTTTAATTACACGATGTTATTCCTTCACCGTGGAAGTCAATCGTGAACATTTGTTAAGTACGTATTTCATTAGATAAATTGGTCCTTGCGGGATTCGAACACCGGTGCATCGCTCAACACGAATGCACCGGACGTCTTATCGTCTTATCACACAAAATAGTTACCACTCGGCTTATTGGTAGAGTTTTAACCAAAGGAGGGCTGACGTCAGGCAGACAACCGATCCTAAAACACGTGCCATGGAAAAGTTTCAACTAAAAAACTCACCCCATAGTCGCTAAAAAACTAAAGCCAACACCAATCGCCAGCGCGACAAACGCGGTAAGTTATACCTTGCTTTACTTTACAGAAAGGAAAGGATTTTGAACCGTATTGTCGCTTACGATAAGGATCATGTTTAATAATCGTTAACGGTAATATTGGTTAGACCCTATTTCACTACTTTCCTTACCTATTCGCTGATAGCCAAGAGCCTATTCTAGCTACGCCCGGACAGGAAGATGAGCTCACGGGCTAAGCATGAGAGAATTTGCTAACACTAGCCCTAGCCAGAGTAGTGTTTCGCAGAATCTACCACCGGATCGGAATCGCGAGAAGTTCCAGCGAGAAACTCAACGGGCTGTCTATGGGTTAGTTCGGTAGTTACTCTTCGTCGTAATCGACAATGTCCCAAACCAAAACTTCCCATTCATGGTAACTATTTGGTGGTCTAGTATCGGAGTAATTAATCACAGCTTCTTGCCAAATGGAACCAGCAAACGGACTCTAAGCTACATGATGGAAGGTTTGGCCATTTTTTTTATATTTCTTTTTTATTCTTAGATGTGTGGAAGAGCTCACAGCCCACCTGGTGTTAAGTGGTTACTGGAGCCCATAGACATCTACAACGTAAATGCGCCACCCACCTTGAGATATAAGTTCTAAGATCTCAGTATAGTTACAACGGCTGCCCTACCCTTCAGACCGAAACGCATTACTGCTTCACGGCAGAAATAGGCAAGGCGGTGGTACCTACCCGCGCGGACTCATAAGAGGTCCTACCACCAGTAGAGAACCTATGGCAAGCCTTGGTCAACGGCTTATCCCCCTACACTAAAAAGCTCAACCTGATGCGGCACAACAGACGGACTCTAAGCTACATGATGGAAGTTTTTCACCATTCATCATACTCACCAGACCTGGTGCTGATGTCTGCTCTTTTAAAAATTTTAACAAGTTCTTGACAGGGAAAAAATTCAATGGCCGAAATAGGCAGTACAAAATGCCTTTGAAGAATCTTTTCGCTCCCGTACCCCGGTTTTTTTTAAACATACCTAAGCCTGTAGCCTTGAGAGGCTATATCAGCGTCGCCTTAGCTAGTAGCTCACGGGGCTCAAACCTGACGACGTTGCTAACACGAACCCAAGCAAGAGCAGCGCTTCGCAGAATCTACCACCGGATCGGAAACGCGACCAACTGAGAAGATCCGGCGAGAAAGTCAGTGGGCTGTGTCTGTGGGTTAATTTACTCGCCGAGCCCTTAGTTCTTCTTCTTCAAGTATGGCATTAGAAAATCACCACTGCACTGACAGAGATCTTCAGATACCATCGGTGCATATTTTGATTGATAGTGTGGCAATAGCTATAATAGAACACAAGGTATTTGACAGATGTCTGAATCTCCCTTACGACATTTTCAAGATAAGCTTGTATATATACAAGCTCCGAACAACAATCTACCCGATCCTGTGGACCGAATGGTAAACAGTCGACGTCGCCCAAAGCACGTCATTACGGATCCTCCCGATCCATTAACGGTGCTTTTAGGCACCACAAGCACCGGTAACCGTCCTCGTCGAACCCGTCGCTTGCGACGAAGGGCTCGACGAGCGAATTAACCCATAGACACAGCCCACTGAGTTTCTCAGTTTCTCGCCGGATCTTCTCAGTGGGTCGCGTTTCCGATCCGGTGGTAGATTCTGCGAAAAACAATTTGACCGTCGGTCTACCGAGCAATGTCACCCGCTCGGTGAAAGATTTTATTCGGTGATAGATCTTATGATATTGTAAAAGGAAACAAACGATTTTATTCATTTAGTTTATTTATTTATTTAAATACTGTCATTTCGTTGTTGTAGCACAGCACGCGATCGTCGATCGTAGATAGAGCATTTCTTACATTTGATATCGGGAATTTGAATAAACTTGTACACGATTCTCTTACACTAAACAATATTTCATACAAGATCGCACAACACTAAGATAATTAAAGCTTCGCACATACAGTACAGGTATAACATGCTGCAATAAAAACAAAACCCGCAAAATTATAATTTGCGTAATAACTGGGGACATCTTGTGATTCCGCACGGGTAGGTACCAGCACCTTGCCTAATTTTGCCGTGAAGAAGTAATGCGTTTCGGTTTGAAGGGTGACGCAGCCGTTGCAACTATACTTGAGACCTTAGAACTCATATCTCAAGGTAGGTTACGGCATTTACGTTGTAGATGTCCATGGGCTCCGGCAACTACTTAACACCAGGTAAGCAATAAGAAAAAAAAATCACAAAACGATCAACACAAATCCTTCAAGCACTCGTCCAAGTCGTCCGAATTATTAATAATAGCTTCATCCCAAGGCCCGTATATGTTATCCTTGTAACGCTGCCACTTAACAAACATCATCGGGCAATATACGCAGAGAACGACAATAAAAAAGCTAAAATAGCACAGCACAACACTCGAGACGCTATATAACGTTATAAGCGTTAAAAATAACGCAACGAAACACATCACGTTAAATAGTGTTGTACCGGAATAAGCTTTGAACAGGTGCGGACTCAGAACGAAGAACAGCACCGATACGGTCAGCAAAACGAAGGCATCGAAGGGTGTAGACAGACGCGACACCAGACACACAGACGAGAATATCGCAGCGTTTATAGATAGCGATTCCGAAACAACGGCGGCCGGGACGTCGTAATCGAAAAATATCAAATGTATCAACATCATTATAACCGACCAAGCGTATATCGTGTCCGTGCTCACCGTATCCGTAAGCGTGTGCAGCACCGGCGACAAAAGATAACCTATAACTATATATATTAGGACCGTTTTGGTGTGCCTCAAAATATCGCTGCCCGCTATTACAGCGTACAGAATATAGCAGGATAAGGTTATGAATATAAATAAATATATGACCGTGTACGTTTGGATCCAATCGTTGTGCATGAAGACGTATAATAGGGCGTACAGTGTGCATAAACACAATCTGAGCGCGACCCGCAACGAACCGTACACGGCTTGTCGCAAATTAACTTTCTCTACGTTAATATTTTTGCGTAGCTCTTCCAGGAACTTCACGTCGGTGTAATTGTCCGGGTATTCACGGTTCTCGTATAAGTTCTTGACCCAGGGTTTCCTTTTCGTTTGTCCCGGTGCTGGTTTCGGGGGGCGCTGTCTGAAATCGTTGCTGCCGTTAATGCTTTTTTTTCGTCGCGTCTAATAGCATCGTTTTAAGCGCAGCTAAATAGCAGCAGTTATAAATAGCTAACGACTTTTTCAGCTTACTTTGGTAAACGTAAAACTTTTAAACAACACCATCACTAATTAACCCTTAAAAATCAGTATAAAATATTAACACATTTCTCAAGGAAAAGGAATAATAATAATAAAGGGCATTAAAAATATTTATTACTTATTATTTACTTGGCCAAGACCCGTAAATTATAAAGACGTACCAGCGTCTGCTGAGAAAAAAAAGTAAAGAATAATAATATAAATAAATTACAAAGAATAATAGGAATAAGTAATCTCAGATCCAAACACGATTATGTTCATTTTTAAACGAATTCAAAAAAGGAGGAGGTTCTCAATTCGACTGTATACTTTTTTTTTTATGTTTGTTACCTCATAACTTTTGACTGGGTGAATCGAATTTGATGATTCTTTTTTTATTAGAAAGCTAACGCTTCCCGTGTGGTCCCATTAGAATTTAGCCCAGTTCTGATAATGGTATCCATGAGAAAACCATATAAGTCTTAAATTTGCATTAAGTACGTACGCGACAAACAGATGAATGACTCAATAACTAAATATCACGCCAACAGATTTCGATGATTATTGTTTTTAGTGTATATTAATTTGTTTTGGAATATCTTTTTTTTCTATTTGAAATCGGTTTTTGTTAAAGCATGTCTATTTACAATTATTCTATTAAAGCAAAACAGAATGTTGGGGGATAACTTTAATAATAATAGTGTTCGATTTTCTTTTTTCTTTTAATACAATGTTAGTAGGTTATATTAACGATTTCGTTTTTATTATTGGTGGTAGGACCTCTTGTGAGTCCGCGCGGGTGGGTACCACCGCCCCGCCTATTTCTGCCGCGAAGCAGTTATGCGTTTCGGTTTGAAGGGTGGGGCAGCCGTTGTAACTATACTTGAGACCTTAGAACTTATATCTCAAGGTGGGTGGCGCATTTACGTTGTGCATGTCTATGGGCTCCAGTAACCACTTAACACCAGGTGGGCTGTGAGCTCGTCCACCCATCTAAGCAATAAAAAACAAAACAATTTTTTTTTTTTTTATAGGAAGTCGGTTTTTGTTAAGGCATGTCTATTTACAATTATTTGATTATTTGAGTGATATTTTAAGATTACAATTTGATGATTACAATTATTTGATTGATATTTTAAGCTACGGATCGACATAATATGACCCGTAGTACCATACACATAAGATTTAGTATTGAGATTTTCACGAACTGTTGTAGCTTCACGCAATCGCAAGTTTTCTCATGAAACAACCCAAGTGATTTACTATTAAATACAGCTATTTTGTTTATCCATACTAATATATAAATCTACAGTGGTTTTTACAGATGTTCCGTTATAACTACTGAAAAATGAATCCGATTGAATTGAAACTTGGTATCCATGTAGAAAATAGATGTACTTAATGGATAGGCTAATATTTATATGAGTGTTGGACTCCCTAATAATAATGAAAATTAAATACCCAGCGAAGCGGGCGAGTACGCCTAGTAATGAATAAGTTGAATGATATTTTCTAAACGGCTATTTTATCTTCTATACTCAAATGTCGATTTGTAAAATAAGTGATTTTTAAAACGACATCTCTCTTTATTTTCATTTATATACAGCAGTGATTATCAAACTTATTTCTTTTACCGCCCCCTTTGAAAATCAATTATTTTTCAGCGCCCCCCATTTTTTATACACACCTAAAACTTTAAAACCACCATTTCATTAATTTAATTAATAAATGTTGTATTAATTTTAGTAAATGTAGTACCACGTAGTACATATAATTATATATTTGTAGATGCTATTATTGTTTCTTCATATTATTATATGTCCGTACATTTCTACAGAGCGTGTATCTACAAATTTGCAAAGTAAAAATGAATTCTTCTCATCAATATGTTTGTTTAAATTCAGAATTACCAAAATAGGCAAGTTATGCGGGAGAAGGCACAGAGGCAGAAATCCAATGCGCTGGTCGGTCTTGTTTTGCTGAGTTGGCTGAGTTGCCACCGCTGGGGTGGCGCATGTCGTCGGCAAAATCAGGAGATTGGGCCTCGACGTGACACTCAGTAAATCCGAGGCCGAGAGTGCCACCTGTCGATGCTCATGTCGTGGTTGGAGGCGTCCGTATCGGGTCGGGGTGCAGTTGAAGTACCTCGGCCTCATTCTGGACACTCGTTGGACCTTCCGTGTTCACTTTCAGAACCTGGTCCCTCGTTTGTTGGGGGTGGCCGGCGCGTTAAGCCGGCTTCTTCCCAACATCGGGGGGCCTGACCAGGTGACGCGCCCTCTCTGTACAGGGGTGGTGCGGTCAATGGCCTTATACAAGGCACCCGTGTGGGGCCAGTCACAGCGAAGTTGCTGCAACGGCCGCAACTCACCATCGCGGCTAGGATCATCCGTGGTTATCGCACCATCTCTTTCGAGGCGGCGTGTGTACTGGCTGGGACGCCGCCTTGGGTCTTGGAGACGGAGGCGCTCGCCGCTGACTATCAGTGGCGGGCTAACCTTCGTGCCCGGGGCGTGGCGCGTCCCAGCCCCAGTGTGGTCAAAGCGCGGAGGGCCCAATCTCGGCAGGCGGTTCGCCGGGTTCTTGTGAATTGGGTGAATCGTGACAGAGGACGCCTCACTTTCCGGCTCACGCAGGTACTCCCTGGGCATGGTTGCTTCGGTGAGTTCCTGCACCGGATCGGAGCCGAGCCGACGGCATAGTGCCACCATTGTGGTTGCGACTTGGACACTGCAGAGCATACGCTCGTCGCCTGCCCTGCATGGGAGGGGTGGCGGCGTGTCCTCGTCGCAAACATAGGAAACCACTTGTCGTTGCCGAGTGTTCTGGCATCGATGCTCGGTGACGACGAGTCGTGGAAGGCGATGCTCGACTTCTGCGAGTGCACCATCTCGCAAAAGGAGGCGGCGGGGCGCGTGAGAGATGCGCAGGCCCGCCTCCGTCGAGCGGTGTCCAGGGAGGCGGATCTCGCCCAAGCTCTGGCCCTCTAAGTGTTTCGGGTCTCCCTCACATGTCGGCCTGGGGACCGGCGAAGGGGGCCTACGAGGGGGACGACGTGCAAGCTGCTCTGCACACGTTTTACGCATGAGCATCCGGGTGATGGAAGGCCGGCTATGCTCAACCCACGCTGGTTTTGACCCAGCGGGGTATTCCGTAGGATAGACCATTCTAACCGATGCCATCTAGGCGGGCTTGCCGACCGAGAGGGCTGGTGGTCGTGTCGCCGACGACCGCCAGTCCGGCGTCCCGGGGGGGAAGGTGATGGGAGAGATGTGCTCCGCACTAAACGCTTCACTTTCACCCCTTTGCCTTTTCATAAGCTCTGTCTCATGCGAGGTTTGGATGCTGGTTGTTGAGCGACAGGAGGTTTTAGTCGGTTCGACTCCGACATGCCCCGCCCTCCATCCCCAGTGAAGGGCAGAAGTCCGGCGATTTCCTCCTGACAAAAAAAAACGTGTGGCACTCGGGAACTGCGGCGGTAAAGCTATTGCATAGCATTTTTTATCAACTTATGACATTATAATTAGACAATGATAATTTAATATTAAAACAATAATAAAACAAGACCACGCTATATTAAACCTTAATAAAGGCAAAACCTTAACTGTCCCTTTCACACTCATAAGCTAAACCGCGCGTGAGAGAGATGGGCAGACTTTTCGTGATGCGCATGCAGTGTGACGTCATGCCACGCGCTTATTCACAAACAGTACACAAGCGCAACGTGTGAATGTGTTGAACGCGAGCTACATGGTAGGCGGAGTGAGAAATGTTAGGTTTTTTCGTTACGGAATTTCATGATTCGGTCGCCGCGCTCAAGGCCCGCGATAAAAGCTATGCAACAGCTTAAAAATGTATGAACTTGTAATAAAATCTCTTTGGCTATACTATTTGTATCTGGCTAGATTTGGTATCATTAAAAGTTTAAATTCGAAAGAAGATAATTCCAAATTAAAATTAGGAAGATGTGTCATTTTTATTTATTTTTCGTACTGTCAAGATGAGTGAATCTAATGAAGATATTTGATACATTTTAAAATTTTACAACAAAAAAGGTAAAAAGCAACGCAAACCTTGAAAAAAAAATTGCGATGTTTATGGACCTAGTGCAGTGTCTGTGAGAGTAGCACAAATTTGGTTTAAGCGTTTTCAATCCGGAATTTTTTATGTCAAAAATGCACGTCGCTCTGGTCGCCCTATTACGGATTAAATCGATGCCACTTTTGAAAAAGTGGGGCAAGATCAGCATATCAGTAGTTACGACGTAACTGAAGAACTGGGAATTGACCACAAAATAGTTATGGCGCATTTGAAAAAAACTGGTTACACAAATAAGCTTACTGAAAGAAACCTAATGAGCTGTGTACTCATTTGTGATTCTTTATTACGACGTAATGAAACCGAACCATTTTGAAGAAGCTGATAACTGGTGATGAAAAGTGGATCACGTACGACAAGAACGTACGAGAAAGGTTGTGGTCAAAGGCCGGTCAGACTTCACAGACTCTGGCGAAACCCGGGTTAACTCGCAACAAGGTGATGCTGTGTGGATGGTGGGATTGGAAGGGCATTATACATTATGAGCTGTTACCACCAGGTCCTGAACTCTACTGCGAACAACTGATGAGATTAAAGCAAGAAGTTGAGAGAAAGCGGCCGCGATTAATCAACAGAAGGGGTGTGGTTTTTCATCACGATAACGCTAGACCTCACACATCTTTACGCACTCAGCAAAAATTAAGAAAGCTTGGCTGGGAGGTGTTAATGTATCCGCCGTATAGTCCTGACCTTGCACCTTCAGATTTCTACCTGTTTCGGTCTCTTCAGAATTCTTTAGGCAGTGTAAGGTTAACATCACGAGAGGACTGCCAAAACCAATTGTCGCGGTATTTTGATCAGAAGCCCCAAAATTTCTATAGCAATGGGATCATGTCCCTACCTATAAGATGGCAAAAAGTTATCGAACAAAATGGTACCGACATACTTTAGTTAAATGTGAATAAACTATATTAAAAAAATTTGTGAATTTTCTTAAAAAATGCGAAGAAAAATTTTCCCCAACCTATTATTACATAGAAATAAATAGTTAACAATGTTTACAATAAGTGAGCTTTTTAGGCTTACTATATACTATTTGACATTGGACGGTAATGGGTAAATTGTAAAAAATAATAATCCGTTCGGATTGTCGATAATCCCATTCTCACGGATCGTTTGGAGCCTCTGGGTCTGCGGAGGGACTTCGGTTCCCTCTGTATTTTGTACCGCATGTTCCATGGGGAGTGCTCTGAGGAATTGTTCGAGATGATACCAACGTCTCGTTTTTACCATCGCACCGCCCGCCACCGGAGTAGAGTTCATCCATACTACCTGGAGCCACTGCGGTCATCCACAGTGCGTTTCCAGAGATCTTTTTTGCCACGTACCATCCGGCTATGGAATGAGCTCCCCTCCACGGTGTTTCCCGAGCGCTATGACATGTCCTTCTTCAAACGAGGCTTGTGGAGAGTATTAAGCGGTAGGCAGCGGCTTGGCTCTGCCCTTGGCATTGCTGAAGTCCATGGGCGACGGTAATCACTCACCATCAGGTGGGCCGTATGCTCGTCTGCCTACAAAGGCAATAAAAAAAAAGACAAGTTTTTGAACAATAATTATAGACGCATTTCCATTTTATATACAAATTATGATTCTTACATCAGTAATTTCTTATAAAATGCTAGGAAAATGCTGTAAAATGCCCTTATGTTAAAAACAAGAAAGAAAGTAAAGAAAACCTCAATTTGTGTTACTGTAATATTTTAAAACTCTGCATGGTAGTTTTTTTTCTAATGTCTAAAATAATTTCTGGTGCAATGTAATTAAGGTAAAATGACTCTAATTTTTTAACTATCATCGATCATGTTCCGCAGAAACTTGTTACAACTTGATTACGTACGGTGTATGGGCTATCCTACGAAATCTATGTTAATTATTTTAAGTTTTTATAACATCATACAGGGTAGAAATATAAACTAATTCGTTATTGTATATATTATATATTGTTCGTTATTATATAGTAGATGAGTTTTAATTTTAGTGAAATTTAAAATACTATAAAGTAAATGAAATTACAAATTTTACAGCGCCCCCCTAACCCACATCAACGCCCCCCATTTTTTCCTGGGCCCCTTAGCGCCCCCCTCTAGGTTTCAAACGCCCCCAAGGGGGCGTTATCGCCCACTTTGAGAAAGACTGATATACAGCAATGGCGTCAGAAAAAAACTTCGAAAATAATTCGTCAAACGTTAACCGAAACCAACCGAAACGATCACGGCCTGTGTGCTTCTTGTCAGCCTTGTCAGCCCAAGGACGTTCACTGCTGGACATAGGCCTCCTCCAAGCCTCGCATTGCTCGCAGAACGGATGGCCGTTGGGGCCAGAAAGTCCTTGAGTGGCGACCGCGTACTGGAAGACGTAGCGTGGGTAGGCCTCCCACAAGATGGGCCGACGACCTATTGAGGTTCGCGGGGATCTGCTGGATGCAGGCAGCGCAGGACCGGTCTGTGTGCTTAGTGCGAGTTTTTTTTATTAACGTTCTCGATAGCGTAAAAGTTAACTCAAATTTGTATGGAACTGGAAAGTTTGCCCCTAGGGGCGCTAAGCACATTGAAGGTTAAGACGCTCGGTGCTTTTTTTTTCCTACCTATGCTGATAGCCTTGAGAGGCTATATCAACGTAACCTTAACTAGTAGGTGAGCTCACGGGGCTCAAACCTGACGGCGTTACTAACACGATGACCGGTGCTTGAGGAACCTAAAAGCACCGCTAGTGGATCGGGGGTCCGAAATGGCGTGGCTCGATGCATTCGTATCGAGCGATGAGACTATGCCGATGTTGGAATCCCGCAGACAATAGTAACAATATTATTATATATAAATTACGTGTCACGTTATTTGTCCGCGATGGACACCTAAACTATTGAACCGATTTTACTTCTTTTTTTTTAAAATATGTGTTATGTTCCAACTTAGGTCATAGGATGGTTTTTATTTCGATTAATGATCGCAATACCTATTAATTAACAATAAAATGATTTCTTAAGTTGATTATTGTTATGAATTGTAAGTTTCATAAGTCTAAAACAGATGGCGCCTTAAATCAGTTTTTACAGACAATTGTAATACTGTCTGACATTAATATCTCATAAATGGCGCTGTGTTAAAAATACCAAAGTTTCACATAAGCTACAATTCAATGGGATAAACACCACGTGTTGCTGAGGCTAAAGTAAAGGTGAAATTTATTTCGTAGTAAACGCAATACAGTGAAATCCAATTGTTCTTACTTTGTTAATTTTTGGTATTAGCATAGCCGGCCACGTGTTATTTAGAAACAAAAACCTTAGCCACAGCAACGCGTGGCCGGGTGTGCTAGTTAATCTATATATCTATATACGTGAAGCAAAAACTTTGTACCCATTTTTACGAAAATTGCGCGGACGGAGGAGTATGAAGTTTACCACACCTAAAGTTTATATAGAGAAGGAATACAGAATGCTATTTTTTTAGTGAATTCGCGTGGATAGGTACCGCCTCCCTGCCTATTTCTGTCGTGAAGCAGTAAGGCGTTTCGGTGTGAAGGGTAGGGCAGCCGTTGTAACTATACTGAGATCTTAGAACTTATATCTCAAGGTGGGTGGCGCATTTACGTTGTAGATGTCTATGGGCTCCAGTGACCACTTAACACCAGATGGGCTGTGAGCTCGTCCACCCATATAAGCAATAAAAAAATTAGTTGGACCGTCATCTAGTTTTTTTTTATTTAGTCCACTCATATAACGCTAACAAACTCAAAAACAAACTCACCTTTCAGCTCCTTTCTTAGGAATCTTCTCCTTTATCTTCTTATATTTCTCTTGCTCGTCGACGTACTGTTTGTACATCTCGTTGTCTCGCTCTAACTCGCCGTCGTTCACATCTTTCGTCTCGCTCTCGTTCTTGTCCGTCTCCCTGGTACCTCTCATTTCTTTTTTCAGCTGTTTAATTTCGTTCCTTATTCTATCCCTATGAAAGATCAAATTCGATTAATCTATATATTAATACGTGAAACAAAAACTTTTGTATCCCTTTTTACGAAAATTGCGCGGACGGAGGAGTATGAAATTACCTACACTTATAGAGAATATAGAGAAGGAGTGCAGAATGTTAGTATATTTTTAAATTATGCAAAAAAAAGACATTAAATCAATAAAAAAAAAACATTACACAGACTAACATGTATTTGACGCACACACGCATCTCTTTTATTTATTCTTTATATAGTTTAATAGAACCATAATAATGTTCAAACTCAACATTTCAATTAATTATAGTCGAATTTCGACTACCTGGGGACCACTAGTTCTTATAATAATTCTTTACTGATGGTAGGACGTCTTGTGAGTCCGCACGGGTCCACCCTGCCTATTTCTACCGTGAAGCAGTAATGCGTTTCGGTTTGAAGGGCGGGGCAGCCGTCGTAACTAAACTGAGACCTTAGAACATTAAGACCTAATGTCTGTTTATTGTATGTATATATTTTCTATAATAATGTATTGTCAATAGTACACCGCAACATACCTGCTATATTTTTTTATATTTTCCAGAATTTCTCTAAACTAAACGACTTTAGCGACAAGACCGCCTATTGTACAATACTATCTGCTTTTTTCAATGTAAATTGTGTTTTGGTGTGCAATAAAGTGTATTCTCTCTCTCTCTTTCTCTCTCGTATAACTCATATCTCAAGGGGGCGGCGGCATTAACGACTTAGGTCCTATGGGTTTCACTAACCACTTAACATCAAGTGGAATCGTTCACGCATTTAAGCAACAAAAAAATGTGGGGCTTATTATAGCATTGTTGATCCTTCGAACCCAATGGGGCGTAGTCACTGACCCGAACTACTCAACTCCCAAGCTCGACTCTAACTCATCTCACCTCTCTTTCTTCCTCTCGATGTCTCTGTCTTTCCCTATGTAATATTCTCCGTCCGACTCGCTCTCGCATTCCTGTTTCTGTCTCTTTGTCTCCCTGTCGACGCTGCTCTCCCTCTTCGAACTCAATTTGTCTCGTATGCTGCTGACCGTGGCCTCTGTCTCCAGTCTTTTCTCTTCAATTTCTTTAGCCATTTCCACGTTTGTCTTTTTATCGACTTGCGTCTCGAGCTCTGTGATCATGTAATTAATGGTAGGACCTCTTGTGAGTCAAACAAGTATCATATTAAATTTTGTTACTTTTCCAAAAAACTGTTATTTACTTTGAGCTAATCCCACATTATTATTATTATTATTATTACTATAGAATAAAGTTAAAACTTAACACTAAATGAGCAGCAAGATCATCAAATCGCTAGAAACAATAAATAAAAAATATTTCTAGTATTAAACCTACCTGCAGCAGTCTTTTTGCTAAGCTTAGGATCTTCTAGAAGATCGTGTGTTGACTTGGGTTTGCCTCTATACTCCAGGGCTTCGCCTTCGTCTTCCTCTGCCTCTTCACCGAAAGAGAGAAGACCGAAATTTCTAGAAATAATACGAACAGCATAGCATCACTGCTTTTTAAACCTAACCACCTAATGTTAAGATCTAAGATAGAAAATCAAAAACAGTTGTGTTCAGAATTAATTCGGAATTCAAATTTTTTATTGAGAGGAGGGTAGTTGTCGAAAACGAATACGCATTGCGGTTCGTGACGTCATCGGTAATAATGTACGGACGTGCGAGCGAGATAGCGAATCGTACCGGTAAACACACATTTATACCTACATTCGATTACATTATTCAGTACATTACTTACTAATGACGTATTTTAAGCTCTGACGGGTAGGTACCAGCGCCCTGTTGCGAACCAGACACCTGTTTCGGTTCAAACAATAGTGGATTTTTTTAAAACCTTAGCATTTGTGAGTTTGCATGAGTGCGAGAAAATAAAACTAAGTCGCTGTAAGTGGCCTTTTGGATTCCTTCAAAAAGAACACTGATATCTCAGTAAAGTCTCACTGTTCGAACAAAACTTCATTACATTTTAATTTAAACATTTTGTAATTGAACTAGGCTGTATGGTCTTGTAACGGTTGACCGTAAATAAAAAACAAAAAATAATATTGCCATACCTAAAAAAAAATAAAGAGACTTAGACCTCAAATCACAATTAAGGCAAAGGCATCCAAATCTAGGAGCCCGGGTAAACCGACGCGTTCTACCACCACCACGTACGACTCACTTGACACCCTGACGCTCCCTTTTCTTTTTCTTCGGCAACTCCTCAACCCTGGTCTCCGTCAGCCTCGGGACTATATCAGTGAAGGGGTTGATAATAACTTCGGTGCTCTGAATCTTGTGGGGGTGTTCCGGTCTATCATCCGGACCGATCAGACCATCAGCTAGCTTCAGTACATTGTATATTGTCTCACCTAGAACAATAATAAAAAGATTCAGAGATTGCTTGGCCTGAAAGACGCTCCCTGCACAGGGGTCAAACAAATGTATATTTGGATGATATAATTATTTCTTGCATTTGAAACCAAATCAGCACCGCCTTGATCCTATAAGTTGTGTCGCCCCATAATTTAGCAGAAAAACTAAACTTTAATTACTATACAAAATCCTGCAGTGTTTTGTCTGGAACTGACGTGGAGAATGGTAATGAATTTTATAACTTTTATGTCAAATTATGAGTATTATTAGTGTTCATGATCCTTTACGATGAGATATAACTATTGAGGCGAACTAGGCAGAATCTTATGTAAGGGAGAGTGGGCGGTGTCAAAAGAAGCCAAAATCGTAATCACCCTTAGCTAAACAATGAGTGAACCTTGACCAATTAACGCAAACACTCCCTAATCAGTGCATCAGCATCAGTGCATCAGGGACACATATATATATTTTTTTATTTTTGTTGTCAATGCACTGTCGATTGCACCTATTGAGGTGACATCTGCCAAGATCGGTTTGTCATTGTTTTGTGTTGATGATCACTTTTTTGGTGCAACTTAATAAATAAATAACACAGGGAATCCTAATTTGGGGCCTGATGGCTCTGCACGATTTGTTACTTTTATTTTTATTTATTCAAATTCAAATGGGGCATCAGCGGAACTCACCGGTGACCTTCCCGAAGATGGTGTGCTTGTTCTGCAGCTCAGGGGCCGATGCCAGCGTGAAGAAGAACTGGGAGCCGTTGTCGTCTTTGCCGGCGTTCGCCATCGCGACGAGACCGCGCCGGCTGAAGCGCAGACGGGAGTGGAACTCATCCTTTAATTCAAACATACCATATTTTGCACACTAATTACAACACTTGCAATTTTAAAACCAAATTAAGAAATAAGAAGATCAATAAAACACACAGGCCTTTTTAATACGCTTTTTTGTATTTGTATATTTTCTTTTTTTTTTTTGTTGGAGGTTCCATAAAAGCATATTTTGCTAGTTTTTTTAAACGATTATTTATTTTTCATTTTTAGTTAAATTTCAATTTATTCAATTTTTTTTTAAATATTGAATTGTTATCGGTCCTTAATAAGTATACCAAATTTCGAGTTAATCCGACGTTTTGAAGGGGGTCAAAATCATGTTCAAAGATTCCGTTACATACTAACATGCATACGTCTGAAGCTAATAAAAGCTTTTTTTTTATTGCTTAGATGGGTGGACGAGCTCACAGCCCACCTGGTGTTAAGTGGTTACTGGAGCCCATAGACATCTACTACGTAAATGCGCCACCCATCTTGAGATATAAGTTCTAAGGTCTCAAGTATAGTTACAACGGTTGCCCCGCCCTGCAAATCGAAAGGCATTACTGCTTCACGGCAGAAATAGGCAGGGTGGTGGTACCTACCCGCGCGGACTCACAAGAGGTCCTACCAGCAGTAATTACGCAAATTATAATTTTGCGGGTTTGATTTTTATTACACGATGTTATTCCTTCACCGTGGAAGTCAATCGTGAATATTTGTTGAGTACGTATTTCATTAGAAAAATTGGTACCCGCCTGCGGGATTCGAACACCGGTGCATCGCTCAACACGAATTCACCGGACGTCTTATCCTTTAGGCCACGACGACTTCCAAAAGCTCATAGGATTAGCTGGCTGAAGTGGCAGTGTCCAGCCCAATATCGGACCCATTCAGATCTATGACTCAGGAACACATTGAGGCCAAACATGTATCTTGGGTTATTTTTTTATTTTAATTCCACTGAAAGAAGGAATACAATAACAACAGCCACCAAATTGAGACTTTCCACAGTACCGTAACACAGATTGCTGTGGACTGCTAGAGTATCTAATATCTTCAACAAATCTTCTGACTAAGCCCAGGAAATTAATAGAGCAGTACAGTAGCTACTACTCATAGTACTCTACTTTCTTCTACTGAGAAGTTTTGTTTAGATGCTATGAGCGTATCTTACGAGTAGATTTTCACTCAGTACTACAAAGAACATTTCAACGTTCAACACATAATTAAAATTACAATTCACTAATATGGTAGCTAAACTAGAATCTACTAGAAAACTCGTTATGTTTAAATCTATTAAACTTGCCTTAAAAAGCATCATTTATAAATCAATTTTCATTAACATAAATTTCATGAGTGATCCTAAGCCATTATGGTCGCAAAATTAAAACAATTCGAAATCTTTACAATCTGCACTTCAATAGACAATCTATACTAATATTATAAAGAGGAAAGATTTGTTTGTTTGTTTGTTTCGAATAGGCTCCGAAACTACTGGACCGATTTGAAAAATTCTTTTTCCATTAGAAGCCGACATTGTCCCTGATGAACATAAGCTACTTTTTTTTTATTTTTTTATTTTTGGTTTCATGTGTGTTTTAATGTTTCCGAAGCGAAGCGAGGGCGGGTCGCTAGTTATTAATAAAAATAGTTCCATCACAACTTTCTCAGAAACTCTAGTTAGGGAAAACGCGTGTATTGGTTACATACTTTGAACGGAGCACCATAGACTGATTCTCCTCCAGTACCATCACCGTTTGGATCACCACCCTGTACTATGAAACCTGGCACCACACGATGGAATATTGTTCCTGAAACAAATTTGAACACATTACAGAGTAAAGTATGAGGTTGCCTGTGTGGTTTTACAATAAAGCCAATTCATCTCTTCCCATGGGTGTCAAAATAATATGAGATGACCAAGATATTTACCAAAGAACAGTCAATTGAACCGAATCCCCTGACTATTGTTCCAATCACTATTTACCATAGATAGAATGTATTGTGGATCCATACAAGTAGGCACCAGGATCCTTCCTATTTCATGGTTTCACTAAATACTTTATACCTGGTGGTTGGTGAACTCATATACACATTTCTATGCAATAAAAAATTTAACTGTGGAATCAAAACAATGAACTTCCATAGTGAAAGAATAAAATCTTGCAGTGATAATCAATCATGGATACTTCATGGGAGTATTGAGAGCTTCAGGCACATCTTGTTTATCTTGGAGCATCCTGCACAGGTTCTAAAGCTTGACAGCTTTATATAATGTATTTGAGACTGCTGAGAATTTAGTAAACTCATTACCCACCGTTATAGTACCCTTCCAAACATAGCTGTATGAAGTTACGACATGCTTTCGGGGTTTCTTTTGTCCATAATTCTATGTCAATTTCTCCTGCTGTGGTCTTCAAAAGAACCTGAAAATATTAAATTATATCACAGCTTTATTCAATGTTATTTGCACTTGTTTATTTGATTTATTTAATTCTAGGTTAACGAAGAGTCTAAACAAAAAATACATTATTAAAGAGAAACAATACAAAGAAAGAAAGAGAGAGAGCATGAAGTAGTTCTGAGAGATCGACCAGACATAATAATTGCTATGAAATGAAAAAATGTGCTCATAATACACAAATACATGTAAATAAACCTAAATAAATTTATAAAAAACTGAAGTATTTCATTGTGCTGTGGTGAAGAAAAATGTGTATTTTTGGTAGGGAATACTGATACAGTTACAAAGAGCAATAAGCCGATAGGGAATATTGTAATCCTATTTCTACCAGAAACTGTTTATGTACTCCGGTTTAAAGGGAGGCACAGTGGTTGTACAATATAACTGAGCACATAGTGGGACATGTTGTCATGACCTAAAGGATAAAAGGTTCAGCATTTTCATCGCACACATTCAATCATCGAATCCTTATTTATTTTTTAAGTATCGCTGTCATTATCGCTTAAATTCTATTGTTATAAACAATTGTTACTAATGACAGAAATCCAACTGTTTTTATTTACCTTTCCTAGTGCAGGCGGTTCTTGTATGTAAATATTACTCATTTTATATTTATTTCATTTACCTATTTTAGTAGGCCATTTACCTCATACCTACCAGTTTGTTGTTTAAAGTATGGTTTAAAGTTAATCAAAATTTATCAACTGTCACTGTCAACAGTAGTAGTTCTATTTTTCCAACTGTAAAGGCAAATGTATCATACCATACAGCTTAATCTTTTATACTTTTTTTTATAAAAAATACTAATATGCAGTGAAATGAAATGAAGTTAATTAATTTGAAACATTAGTCAATTGACATTAAATAAAATGAGATGAGGTGAGATGCTATAGGATGAAATATAATCTCAGTAAAATTGTGGTTTTATTTAATAGACTTATTCAATGGACTTTTTGCAGGATCAGTTAAAACATAACAGTAGAATCGATACATACATCGAAAGTATCGATACAGCCTAATCATTCTGTTTTATGAAAAATAATATTTTAGAGAGGCTCCGAAACTACTGAACCGATTTGAAAAGTTCTTTCACTGTTTGGAAGCCTCACTATCCCCGAGTGACATAGGCTATATTCTTTTTTTTTTTTAATTAGTGATCGGACTTTTTGGCGGGAACGCGAGGAGTGAAGTTGTGTAATTTGTTTTATTTTGTCTATTTAGTGTTTCTTCGGGTTTAAATGTGTAGTAATGGTGGTTTATTAATTTTTTAGTATCTGTGAAAGTGGAAAAATGTGGGAAAATGGAACAAAGCCGCTGGACGTAACTTTTCGGGATCCTCCAAAAAGTCCACTGAAAAAATCTTAGTAAATGACCACCATTTTACTGAGATTATATTTCATCTCATATCATCTCAACTCATTTCATTTAATTTCATCCCAGTTGATTAGTGTCTCAAATTAATCATCTTCATTTCATTTCACTCCATAATATCATTTTTCATAAAAATATGAATAATATAAATGACTTAAAGGTCTCAGTTACCAGGTCATAAAATCTCTTAAAAAAAATTAGGAATCCTTACTAAAAATCCAATAATGTGACCCAAGGCGTAAAAATATTTACCTAAAATATTCTTAACATCGCATGCGAGGCGAAAACTATTGATGATAGAATAAAATAATGTACTATGACTTTGTAGAACACATTATTATTTACAAATAGTGTTGCGATAGCATATGTCTAGCTATTATAGTTATACCACTGTATGTGTTCTTTTATTTGTTTTAAATGAAACAACGTCAAATATTGCTTACAGGGAAGCTCTGACTTGAGTCAACCATTGAGTTTATTGATAAACTTTTATTTTGTAATTTTATTTTGTAATTATGAAATTTTTACAAAAATTAGAAAAAATAGATAAAAAAATGTATCATTTAAATGAAAATAAAAGTTCATTAAAATAATAATATTCAAACTTCTTACAATTTTTTTATAAACATTTATAATTGTTTATAATGAAATTTTTGTTAAGACCCGAGCGAAGCCGAAGCGGGCCGCTAGTGAAAAATAAAAGGAATGAAAAAGGAACGAAATGAAATGAAGTTGATTAATTTCAGAAATTAATCAATTAGGTTGGAATTAAATGATAGGAGAAGCTACGTCCAGTGAGATCAGATCCGGCGAGAAACTAGTGGGCTGTGTCTATGGGCTACATTGCACATCAATCCCTTGGTCGCATTCGACGAGTTCTACTATAAAACCATGAATCTTTTTCACACCGCCTTCTATGGTCAGCGACAATCTATTCGCAACATAAAAAATATTAAAATTCTTTTAATTTAAAAACTAAAAAGAAAACAGGCTCACACAGGAAAGCGAACTGACAATCAATTAATTTTTTGTATCTTGTTGACGGTACTCAGGATATTGAAACGATGTTATGAAATTATTGTTTTGTTGTCGGTCTTTGATCCGTGTGCTATTTTTTTTTTTAACTTAACCTCGTGGCGTCTATGAAAATTAGGTTCAAAGCCTCCGTTACCACGTACAAAAAGAGTATCAAAACGCACGCAGGGTATGTCGGACTTGAAGGTCTGCAGATGCTGGGAGAAAACCGCGGTCACAAAGATATTTTTAGGGCCCTACCGCACCACTAGAGACTCTCCTCGCACTCTCACACCCGACATCCGATCACCGCCCGGGTTCAGAACCCGGTCAGAGTAGTGGCTTCCCGCGGTCAACACTACAATCAGACTCGCGGTGCCATCCCTAGCAGAATCGACGGGTCATCGAGGCGATAGTCGACGACCAGCGACGCCGGCCTCCGCAGTACGGCTGCCCGTTCGATGCCGCTGGTGTTCCGGGATACCACGCTGGGTCAAAACCAGCCTGCCGTGGGTGGATGGCGCATTTACGTCGTAGATGTCTATGGGCTCCAGAAACCACTTAACACAAAGTGGGCTGTGGGCTCGTCCACCCATCTAAGCAATAAAAAAAAAGAAATTACTTATATCCATTGATTAATAAAATTTCATTACAGTAAAAGCTCTATGCCGCGAATACAAAAACCGTGAGTATGGAAAAGCGCGTTTACAAAGGACATTCGATCCTATGCCTACATATTAGAATCCTTTTTAACAATGTGTATTTACCGATTTACCGATTAGATCTGCGAATAAAGAAATCTTTAGCCGCGTATAGAGGAATTGTGTCGCATTTTTTTAATCCGCATAAAGTGACAATGCGAATGAAGGAAGGGCGTATAACGAGCTTTTACTGTATATTACTTACAAAATAAAATACTCACAAAATAAATTATAAGGTTAATTTCTATTTGTATTTGTAATATACCTTTAAGAGACAAAATAAATAAAATTATTATTATTATTAGTACCTTTTTATGTTCAATTAAAAACCGTTTTTTTTTTTCTAAACTATATCGATTTAAACCGCAGCTAAAAATTTGCAAACGTTTCACATCTCTATTGAGCATCTTAATTCGTGAATAAATTGTAAGGCCCCCGCATTCATCGCGAGGCGTGAGGTCTCCAAAAATTGATTTATGTCGAGCTAATCTCGATTGTTTGAAAGTAATAACTTCATTTCCGTCAGCAACCGCTTTTGTGTATATTCAGGTCATAAATCAAAAGCGCGATTCAGTCGTGTACACGTAGCGCCATCTATTGATGACATTGGAAGTGAATCACATACGCGATTCGGGATGCCCGTGGGTTGGTACTCATGAGCAAAATTACTCAGCTTGTTGTAAAATTTTTCTAAACTACACTATTCATTCTTTTTTTAGGATGACAATCGGCTTCTTGTGATGCCATTGTTATTTATTTTTCACGGCACTGTTGGAAGAATTCCAGGCATGTACTCCCTTTGTCTTCGACAGATGGCGTTATATGCATTACTGAATCGCGCCATAGATTTGTGTTTGAACAAAATATATAATCAGCTGCCTTTCTCTCGCGCCCCACCTTATTTTCTAAAAATATAACTCCTCCTACTAATTCTTATCAATTTTTGTCGTTTCGCAATAGCTAGGATGCATTAGCGTGGCGAATAGTGTGACACTATTCAGGAATCAGGATCTCATGTCAATTGTCATTAAATAAAAGCCAATTAATAGTAATCTTGGGCAAAATCAGTCACCAAGAGGCAAAAAGACAAGAGATATATATCTTTTGGATACAAAGATGTATGTATATTAGATATTAAATATCATTGTTTTATATCTTTAACTCTGTATCTTATAGTGAATGAATAGTGAAAATTGCAGACAAGATGGGTTAATAAAGTGATATTAACTCTGTAAAATGTAAATAGCGGTCTGGATTTCCCTTCATACTTGACAGAATATAAACAAAGATTAAAAGATTTAAATGATTACATTCAAACAAAATCACACTATAAAACTGTAGAAGTACGATATATTATGACTTGCTAGTAAATTCGACCTTTTCTCATTCGCTCACTACGCTTGCGCAGTGCGCGGGCTAATCAGTACAGATATAGTGAGAAAATATTTTCCTTCGTAATTTTTCGGAAAAGTTCGTATTTATCGTGCTCTCATCAGTACCCATATCAGAGCCGTAGGGGTATATAAGTCGCATCAACAGAACGTTATATACCTAGTCTTGCCATAAATACTGACACAAAGGAAAAAAAAATTCTATTGCAAATAACATTTATTACTTTTACAGTGTGTTAGTTTAATACATAAATATAAAACAATCTAAAGTATAAAAAGCTTATTCGAAGTGGTCTCCATTGGCTGCAATACAGTCCTTTAAACGTTGAGGCCAGTTATCAATAGAAGCACGCACTCTTTCCATGGGAAAATTTTTCACTGCCAATCCAAATTATCATGGCGCTTAGAGCAAGCCGTACTCTCTAAAACTGACCATAAATCATAATCCAGCGGATTAAGATCGGGACTAGACGACGGCCAGTCTTCAGCTCTGATGAAGTCCGAAACGTGCGTTTCCAACCAAGACTGCGTAGACCGAGCTTTATGACCTGGCGCCGAGTCTTGCTGGAAGGACCATTCTTGATTATTGAACATGGTGTTGTTAAGGGGCTTCACTACCTTCTCAAGAATGGTGTCTTGATACACTTGTGCCGATGTTTTGATACCTTTTTCACAAAAGTATGGCTCAATCACTCCTTCATGGCTAATACCCCACCAAACCATCACTGAAGTCGGATAGTGCCCACGTTGCACTCTGTCGACTAATTGGGAAGCTTCCTTAGAGCTTTGAGCATAAATACGGTCATTTTTTTTGTTCAAATGTTGCTCAATTGTAAAAAATTTCTCATCCGTAAACAAAATTTTGCTATGACCTCCCTTTGCGTACCGCTTCAGTAGTTGTTTCGATTTTACCACCCTATTCTCTTTTAAATTATCAGTTAAGAAATTACCAGTACGTCTCTTATAGGCTGAAAGTCCTAAGTCATCTTTTAAAATACGCGACATGGTTTTAGTTGCTATCTTCATCTCCCGAAATAAAATCTTTTGCTTTAGGCCAGGATTTCTTCGAATTTTTTCCCTTACTGCTTTGACCACCTTTTTCGTACGAACACTATGTGGACTAAAGGAGGTCTCATTAATTAATAATTGCTTCACGGCAGAAATAGGCAGGGTGGTGATACCTACCCGCCTCACGTAGATCGAATAACCTCTTAGACTACCAGTGAAGTACCAGTGGGTAAGAAAAAAAAACAATCTTAAAAGAACCGGCGATAAAAACCCAAACGACTGATCTTCTTTAACTCTGCTCGGATTATAAGCGAAATACTTTCATTCAAAAACGTTATAAATTTCATATCCGAGATTTAATATTGCCTCACGCATATTGCACTGGAATTCCATTGGAAATTGCAAGAATGTACTATCAATTTAATATGTCTACTTCGAATAAAGTATTGTTACGCGCTGGGGTTCGGGATAAATAAAATTTCACTAAAGTACAACTTCAAAACTGTATTCAACACTTAAAACATTTAAACACTTCACGAACACCTTAAAACTCTCAATTCGCTCGTTCCGTTTCGCTTCAGGTGATCCGTTCGCTGTTTCGCTTCGATTACTGACTGACTGCGCGCCATCCCTACAATGCTTTTATAGCCGATACCTCATCCCTAGAATCATCGAGAATATTCCACACAGCTCTAGTTGTAGTTCCCGCTATCTGACAATAGATGGCGTTGTAATTCTCGAACATTTTTGGATCCTTCGATATTCGTTCGACTATTCGGCGATAGATGGCGTTATGCTTACCGGCTTAACAGTATTTTGTTATAGTGTTCGTTTGGGGCGGTGTTGTATGTCCTCTCTAGTCTTTTTTTTGCCCGAGCAGGCAGACGAGCATACGGCCCACCTGATGGTAAGTGGTTATCGTCGCTCATACACGTCAGCAATGCCAGGGGCAGAGCCAAGCCGCTGCCTACCGCTTAATACTCTCCACAAGCCTCGTTTGAAGAAGGACATGTCATAGCGCTCGGAAAACACCGTGGAGGGGAGCTCATTCCAAAGCCGGATGGTACGTGGCAGAAAATGAAGGTAGGCAGTTTCCAAATATAGTGGTTTTAAGTAAGTTTCCAATTATTTTTTCTTCTTATCCGTGTTAAATGTTTGAATAACTAATTTGCCGAGCCGATAAATTAATTGAGAAGAAGAAGAACCGTGGTTAGGCAGCGCCTTAAAAGGTTTCATCTTTGCATTTGAATTTAAAAAAGAAATGCTCTCAATGATTAAAACATGGCCTTGTTTTATTCAGGATTGTGTTTTAATCAAAAACGTAAATAAAACAAAACGATTCTTCACTCGGACGGGCGTAATGAAAACAGTCGGACGCAAAAGATATTTGTCTAGATTTACCTTAACACTCTGTATACGTGATTGTACTATCGAACAACGCAGGGTAATTTTAAGATTTTTTTCTTCTTTAAGAATGGCAGGGCAGCAGAATGATGAGCTTCTCGCCGGATTTTCTTAAACGCATTACTGCTTGACGACAGAAATAGGCAGGGTGGTGATACCTACCCGCGCGGACTCACAAGAGCTCCTACCACCGGTAATTAGATTCTGCGAAGCACTGCTCTTGCTAGGGCTCTAGTGTTAGCGACACTCCCAGTTTGAGTCCCGTGAGCTCACCTACACGTCAAGGACAAGCTGAAATAGCCTCTCAAGGCTATCAGCATAGGTAGGTAAACAGAAAAATGACACTTTTCATGAAATATATCAAAAATGACATTTATCTTTGTAATTAATCAAAAGTGTGTTTTATTTGCCATAAACATCAACAGTTCGATGTTTTTAATTGAACTTCAATTAAGTTTATTATATCACCATTGTGGACACGACCTGGACACGGCGGAGCATACGCTCGCTGTCTGCCCCGCGTGGGAGGTGCAGCGCCGTGTCCTGGTCGCAAAGATAGGACCTGACTTGTCGCTGCCTGGCGTCGTGGCATCGATGCTTGGCGGCGATGAGTCCTGGAAGGCTATGCTCGACTTCTGCGAGTGCACCATCTCGCAGAAGGAGGCGGCGGGGCGAGTGAGGCAAAGCTCTCCTCACTACGCAGAAACCCGCCGCCGCCGAGCAGGGNAGGCGGCGGGGCGAGTGAGGCAAAGCTCTCCTCACTACGCAGAAACCCGCCGCCGCCGAGCAGGGGGTCGGGACCGGGGTCGTATCCGTGACCTGGCC